TTCAACATAAAAAGACTACAAATCGAACAAGAATACTAATAGCAGGAAAGGCTTAGATAGATCGTGAGGATATCGTACAATTCTTCGAATCCCAAACAAATGAGGAAAGCAAAGCTACTCAAAAGAGATATGATAATGCAATCCATTCAGTCACTTTGAGAAAACAAAAATTAGCTGAATGTAGAAGGAAAAGAACAGAGGTAGAAAGATTAGAAGAGGAGGGAAACCTACCAAAGTAAAGAAAGACAGGATCTACCCTATTAAAGGAAGAAGTCAAACTTGTTGAACAGGTTGCTGAAGCCGAGCGGAGGGTGAAGAAATTCGAGAAACACCTTGAGGAATTGATGCAAGATGTAGGAGAGGCAAGAAGGTTGATTGGAAGTCCAGAGAAAGAGGCAGAAAGTGGATTTGATGAGCGCAAACTAGAAGAAGGTTTTGAAGAGAGAGCAGAGGCCAATAAAGCCTCTGCTCCCAGAAAGAAACATGAATCGGTGGACTTGTTGCTAGTTTGTTGTTAAAACCTCCAAAGTAGATTGATACTCTAGAGGCAATCTGATGTTGGTATCGGGAAGGTTGTATTGAGAAAAGAGAAAAAAGAAAAACGAATTTAGTTGCTCTATCCCTTCGGCTGCTGAGACATTCAGTCCAGTTTGAAATGTAGAAAACTAACTGTATTAAGGAATTTTATCACAGATCAGTAAACCTCATCTCAACTGTCGCTTTCTCACTCTTGAGGGAGTACCAATCCTATATCTCAATATCAGACTATTTTCCAATTTCCAATAAAATGCCACCAAAAAGAAGAATCCAAGAAACTAGGAGTATGAATTCTGGTCCTCACTAAAGAAAGAAAATCCGATCTGGAAAGCTTCAGAGTCCCCCCAGTGAACAGGATGCCTCTGAGAACCATGAAAACCAGAGTGAAATGGCTGCGATCCCGAATATAACATCTATGCTCCCAAGTGGGTCATCCAGAGTTATCGGAAATGGTAGAAGCACTGAAGAACGATCACTAGGTCCTTCATTTCATGTACGGCATTGCCCAGTATTACCCCGTCTTTCCTGGTTCCTCAAGGATCCTCTGCACTAAATCTCCCTTGCCAGATACCACCTACCAGTGTGGAGAAACGGAAAACAAAATCCCGGATACCTGCCACTATGCTGCCCGGCCTACCCAAGTTTGAACTATTCCAAGTACTGTTCCCTGAGCATCAAGTACCTGTAAGCTACTAAACTAATTTCTGCAACTTCTTCTTGATAGGTGTTTCAGTTATGACATGTATATAAAATAGGCTTAATGACCAGCATATGTGTTAAATAGTCTAAGTCCGATCGCATTGTTTTCTCTATTTTGGGATGATCAAGTATTTGAGCAGCTCGCACTGCATACCAATTTGTATGCAAAAAAGAAACGGGAGGCAAAACCTAGTAAAGTGCCTGACCGACTTGGACACTGTCATGAGTGACCCAGAGCCGGAAAGAGAATGAGACTATAGAAAGAGACTACCTCTCATGAGCTGAAAGTATGGATAGGGATTATAATAAAAATGGGACTACACAAGGAGTCAGCTCTTCCCTTGTAGTGGTCCAAAACTGGAAGAAATAGCTGGAGAAAGGTCTCTTGGAAGCCAGTTCAAAACTATCACTGCTTAGCCAGAAAACATTAGTACTGAGTTCCATGAAACTGTATATCATTAAACCATTTCAAACAGCTTAAAAGGTACTTCCATGTATCTGATCTCCAGATTGAGCTTGATATAAAACCCTGGTATAAAAAACTCGATCCATTAGCCACACTACTTCAAGAACGTTTTAGGAGATACTACCTTCCGGCAACCAAGGTAGAGGTTGATGAGATAGTAGTAAGGTTTTATGGAGGAAGTCACCATTCTTTAAAGATAAGAAATAAGCCAATTAAGGAAGGATACAAGATTTTTGCACTTTGTGACCATAGGTATACCTATAGCTTTCTTTGGTATTCAGCAAGTCAGGGTATCGCTGGATTGGATTCTCCTTCAGCAAATCTTACACTAACCTCATTGGGCATGCTACAGCTAGCTAAGCTGCTTCCAGGTAATTACGGGTGGCAGCTAATACTAGATAACTATTTTACAAATGTACCACTTTTTGAGCGGCTAAGGGATCTAGGGATAGGAGCAGCAGGAACTACTAGAGTTGATGCTGCAGGATTTCCTAGTTCTTTGAAGATTGAAAAGGAGGAAGCAAGAAAGGTCCTTCCCTGGGGTCATGCTAGTGGAGATATCATGGGAAATCTATGCTGCTTGGTTTGACAGAATAATAGCACGGTCTTCTTTATGACCAGCTATCACGATATTACTTCAACAGTAGAAAGATTATACTGCTTGCCCAAAAGAACCAGTACCAATGCCCATACAGTTTGGGGAATCTTTGGAGATTAGTCATGAAAGACCTTTCCTATTCCTCAGTTTATTGATGACTATAACTACCATATAGGGAGAGTTGACATTGCCGACCAGCTATGCTCCTACTATTCTACCCAACAGCGAAGTTGCTGCAACTGGTATCCACTCTTTTACTGGCTTCTGGATACATCACTGGTCAATTGCTATCGAATACAAAAAACAATTTACCCTTATCGTATTACTCGTAGTCAACACTACCTTTTCTGCTCTGAAGTGGCTGAAAGGTTAATCCAAACTGGACTACAAGAACAATCAACTGTTTCTCTATCTAAACCAGGTAAGCTTTATATTGCGTCTTCACTTTATTATAAAAGTTTTTAGTTTGAAAGTTAAAGTATTTTAGATATTGCTAGTCACAGCATTTCAATATCTGGAAGCTTCCCGCCACAGGCCTCATCAAGCTCTAGGATATCTCCTTCCTCCGCTCTTTCTTCCTCCTCTCGAGCCAATATTCCTTATACTACTTCCAATAGTCTCATTCCTCCGGTTTCTACATTCTCATCGATTTCACCTAGCCTTTTCTACTCTTCCCTGGCCAATTCTGTCTCTTCTTTGAACCCACTCATTCCTGCAAGAATGCTTCCCCCTATTTCCCCTCCTTCAAACTCATTCAGATTACCAGCTGATCCTCTCAAACCCTCTCCAATTCCATTTTTCACCATCCCGATCTCGTCAAATGACAGTATTCCGTCTCTTGAATGCTCCCAGGCCATCCCTCTTTCTTCTTCTCTTTCTCCTTCCATCATTGATCTTCCTGCTCCCTTAATTCAACAAAATATATTCACTGTCCCACCAGCCAGTTTAGCCTTTCAGCCTCAAACTCTAAACCTTTTCCGATTTTATTTCCTCCACTGGTTACCCATACTTCAAAACAACGGTCCACATTTTTATCTTGTATTTTTTGCAGGTGGAAACGGTTTGAAAGCAGATTACTAGATGCTAAGGTTAGATCCATTAACTATGGTTGCAGAGAATGCAATATTGCCTTATGTCGTGAATGTTTTCCTGTATTTCATGGTATAACATATGGTATTAGTATCTAAGTATGTAACAGCAAAATAAATGCCAATCTGATATCACGTGATGTCAATCATTTCTCCACATAGTTAGTTTTCTACATTTCAAACTAGACTGAATGTCTCAGCAGCTGAGGGGATATGAAATGCGGTTTGGTTGTTGCCAAGACATGTGGTGCCTCGTTGAGGGTGTTGCCTCGCTGAGGGCTCACCCGCTTTATATTATGAAGAGTACAAACAGAGTAGGCATATCTTAACTGCTGCAACATATCCTCCCATTCTAAGTGTTGAGTTCTCTTATCAGTTGTTATAAAAATTTATAGTTACTCTTTCTCGGCATCATCGAAGGTTGGTGGCCAGCGGGTTTGATGCTTGTTGGTTGGCATATTATCAGCTTTTGAACAAGCATAAATATCATGGCAAGTGCTTAGCTTTATATTCACTAAGGCCGTAATATCTTTCTACTTCATTTTTGCCTCATCATGAAGAGTGATGATATGAAGCCATTCATCACAGGTTGTTTCTTGGCGCTTTGTGTTATTCAGAAAATGCTCACTCTGGGTTCCCTTCAACTTTATTATAAGAAATAAATAAAATATGGGAGACTTTGTGGACAGACTTCGGACATGGATCAGATAGGATTCAGAGCAAACAAGATCAGTTGACCTTGACTTTGGATGTGAAATCACAAAGTTGCTGTTTTTGATGGTAGTTTAGTGGTTATATGGCTGTGGCGACAGACCCTATCTTGGATGACCTCACTCCAAAAGCTGGGTTTGGATTGCTGAATCTTGATTTCCGACGTTGACAAGATCCACCAATCATATCCTTTCCGATCACTTACCCTTACACCCTCGTACAGTGGCAGGTGGTCTACCAATGATATCGCACAAGTTAAGCTAAGCTGGGAATGCTCAGATACTCGAGTACAAGTATAGGTGCATCGGGCTCTAGCTCCACGAGAATCTCATTATGGCCCTTTATTCTAAGCTAGGAGAAGAAGCTATGAACAATTTCTCCAATAGCGCAGGATCAAAAAATCATAGTGTACAAGAGCTGAAGGCGAGTGTTCCTATTGATCCAAGGGACTGTACAAAGAAGGAGTTCGAGCGAGTGAAGAGTAACATCAGTAGGTTCGGGCATGCCACTACGATACCGTAGCTTACTCGTAAATAGAGGTCTTGTGGGTGGTGCGACATAAGTTACAGCGCAGGTTTGAGGCGTCAATCCCGAGTGATTGATTGTGACATTAGACAACACCAGCACGGTATTCCATTGGCTATTCTGCCTTGAGCCCATGTACTTGTAGCTGATGCCTAGAGGACGAATACGGCAGCATGCAGGGTTCGTCGGCGTATTCGCTAAACCATACGTTGGACAGAGAAGGGACAAGGCCCGAAGAGGTTACTCTAGGAGCTTCCCCACGGTCTAGAAACATCGGGAGGGGTTTCCTGGGGTGATATCCCTACCTTATTTATATAATTCACAGTAAGAGTATCTTCACGAGTCCCAAAGAAACAGATGCCATATTCTAAAGATGTAAGCATGTATAACTACTCGATTCACTCAGACCAGAAAGCAATAGCTACAGTAACTACACGTAAAAGAGAAGGGAAAGGGAAGAAGCTTCCTATATCTCAGAATGCAACAAAACACCACAAACCCCTTCATACAGCGAATAAAGTAAAGTAAAAGTGCAACTTAAAAGAAGGAAAATGTCAAAAAAGTAAAATCAGAGCCCCGTGCAGCCCTCAACCATCCATAAGAAGGTAGTGCTAAAAAGGACACGAGAAAGTAAAGGAGGTATTAGAAACCCATCTGAATCCTCCTAGCTTAGATGCTCATGGTATAATCCATTTCCACCCCAGGAACGACACCGGCTATGAACTTGACGAACACAATCATGTACTGGTCAACTCTTAGTCCGCTATCAATATCCACTCTGACAGCTGTTTCATCTTCTTTATCCTCGGAATTTGCGGGAGGCACCTCTTCCCATTCTTCCCGCTCTTTGCGTCGGAGCATGCTGTCGAAGATACGCTTCATAGCCTCAGCATGCTTGCATGGATGCACAGTTGCCATAAGTGTGCCCTCCGGAGGGAACTCTTCAATAGTTACAGTCTTCTCGCGGTAATCGGGAGCGATGTCCTCGAACATAACCGTAGGTGGGGTGAGTGGGAGCCCTGTTGCCCCGTCGTGCCCAGAGATGTATAGACGTGGGGTACGGTAGTATTTGGAGTAAGCAAGGTAAAGGTTGTAGAAGCGTAGGGGTCTATTCAACTTGTAAGCTATGCTTCAAAACGTGAGATAAGATAAGAGGCGTTAGGGTGGCAAACTCACGATTTTCCAGACTTTCCGTCTGCGCTCTTTCCCTTTACGCTCTCCTTGATGATGGCTTCATCGTCATCCTCTTCATCGTCATCCATATCTGGGATTTCCTCGTCCTCCTCCTCTTCTTCCTCGACGCCTTTGTCATCTACGGTCCTTACTTTGGCAGAGGTTGGAGGGTCCCCATCTTTGATAGGAATGTTGTCCTCCCACTCATCCACGCCCTCAATAGCCTCACCAGGATTCCAAGGAGAAAAACTATCATCAAGACGAGAATGGCATGGAGCGTGACGGAGCTTTAGGAACTGCTTGTTTTCAGGTAGATGGGTAACGCTCTTTCCCGGGGCAGCTGGCTGCCAGCTCCAAGTGGGGAACTTGTAGACGAGAAAGTCCCCAGCGTCGACGAACTCTTCCGGGGTGAGCTGGCCAGTGCTGGTGAAGGTCGAGGTATGTGAGGGACTTGAGATGTACTCTTGTATCGACATAATAGTGGAATAGAGATTCATGTTGTTTGCTCGCTTTCCAGCAGTTTAGAGCCTTGTTAAATTTATATGTTGCGATAACAGTTGATATTGCGAGGGCGGGTGTTTAAGTATGGGAGGTAAGGTGGAGAGTAAGTGTAGCGTTCGAAATTATAAAGGGTGAGCGGGGCGAAGAGGGCAGGGCAGAGCGACAGTCATTCAAGTCTCACGGGACATGGTGGGGGGTGGGGGAGACAGCCTGCAGCTTCCAGTTAACCCTTGGCACAAAGCTGGGTTTAGTCATCAGGTGATTTCTCCCAGGTTACCCGGCGCTCGCTCGATCGCTTCAATCTACTTGTACTGGTACTCGAGCAAGACTGATTAACTTGACCTTCGCAGGCTTCTCTATTCGTGCCGTCCACCTCTTATAGAACATTCTATCCTCTTCTCCCCTATCCTCATCCCAAGCAAACAATTTACAACTTTCCAAAAGAGAAAAGAAATCTTGATACAACATGGCCGAAGGAATCGATAGAAGGGAGGATGCTCGTCTTGAGTTCAGCACCAGCAAGGAGGTTACAGTGGCACCTACCTTCGAGGCCATGCACCTGAAGGAAGGCCTCCTTCGCGGAATCTACGCCTACGGTTACGAATCTCCTTCTGCCGTTCAGAGCAGAGCCATCGTCCAGATCTGCAAAGGTCGCGATACCATCGCCCAGGCTCAATCCGGAACCGGTAAAACCGCAACTTTCTCCATCTCCATCCTACAAGTCATCGACACGGCGGTTCGTGAAACCCAGGCACTAGTCCTTTCCCCTACCCGAGAACTCGCGACCCAGATTCAGTCCGTCGTCATGGCGCTCGGTGACTACATGAACGTTCAGTGCCACGCTTGTATCGGCGGGACCAACGTTGGCGAGGACATACGCAAGCTCGATTATGGCCAACACGTCGTCTCCGGCACACCCGGTCGCGTAGCGGACATGATTCGCCGTAGGAACTTGAGAACCAAACACATTAAGATGCTGGTTCTAGACGAGGCAGACGAATTGCTCAATCGTGGGTTCAGAGAACAGATTTATGATGTTTACCGCTATCTTCCCCCGAGCACCCAGGTTGTCGTCGTATCCGCTACCCTCCCCTACGACGTTCTGGACATGACTACGAAGTTCATGACAGACCCCGTCCGCATCCTTGTCAAGCGTGACGAATTGACCCTCGAAGGGCTGAAACAATACTTCATCGCTGTCGAAAAGGAAGAATGGAAATTCGACACTCTCTGTGATCTCTACGACACCCTCACAATCACACAAGCAGTCATTTTCTGCAACACACGTAGAAAGGTCGACTGGCTAACGGAGAAGATGCGCGAGGCGAACTTCACTGTCTCCGCCATGCACGGAGAAATGCCGCAGAAAGAGCGCGATGCTATCATGCAGGAGTTCCGCCAGGGAAATTCTCGCGTGCTCATCTCCACCGATGTTTGGGCCCGAGGTATCGATGTTCAGCAGGTCTCTTTGGTCATCAACTATGACTTGCCGAGTAATCGCGAGAATTATATTCATAGAATTGGTAGATCTGGCCGTTTCGGTCGCAAAGGGTAATTGACCGCTCTCAATATCGCCCTCTCACTACAGATAATGATATTGATGCTAACGCTACTCCAGTGTCGCTATCAACTTTGTCACAAGCGAGGACGTCAGAATCTTGCGTGATATCGAACTTTTCTACAGTACGTCTCCTTCTAACCCCTCGGGCATCCTTGTTTATCCCAAAGCTAACAAAAAAAAGGTACTCAAATCGACGAAATGCCAATGAACGTTTCGGATCTGCTCTCGTAGGCAATTTTTCTTCATTTTCCAGATCATGCTTTTGAGAAAAGCCCGAGCTCCAGAAACAAAAAAAGGGGGCAAGGCCGGTCATCGAGGGGAGGAAATGGGGCTGCATTTTCACTGGTGAGCCTACATTTGCATTTTTTCTTATTATGAACGGGTTTCAGGTCCGGGAGGAAATCTTCGGTTGGCTGATGGATGGCTGGTGTTTGGAGTTCTTTTTTCCTTACAACAAAAAAAAAAAATTCACGAAGTCTTTTTTATTTTTCCACAACTCCTAATGAGTAGAATGACAGGGAGTCGAGATGGTAAGGCTTATTGCGTTGAGAGGCGAGAATTGGATTTTTAACTGGGGATAATACAATAGTCACTATTCGTCACTCGCCAATAGACTCCTGTTTTTTTTTTGTTTTTTTTTCCTTTTCTTTTTTGCTATTAAGGCGTGCGGGGCCTTAATACCATACCGTATTTACATGATCCATTATGACTTCTATACATTTGACATTCCAAGAAACCTCTGGCGACAATATATGCCCCTCATGCAACTCGTACCGTATCATTATATGCAGCTCTCATACCACCATCCACCATGACATCCAAAGTACACCCAATACCATCGCCACCGTAAGGACGATGGACCCAATCCTATCCTTCTTGTCCGGTGTATGAGGGACGAACTCCCCCTTGGAATTGACCCACCCATCCGCGCCCCCGCCACGACCGTCATTCCCAGTGTACCTAATCCCCCTACCTCCCCCTCCAGCGGCCGGATCACCTTTACTCGTGCCGCCCTTAGCCTGGGTAACCGGTGGGTCGAGGCTCTCGACAAGAGTGCTCAGTATAACCTCCAGGGCAGAGATCTGCTCTCCAACGCCCGTGAGACTGTCCCATTCATTCGTGTACCACTTCTGGCCACAGGTGTTCTGGTCCTCGCCGTAGGAGCACTGCTTAGCAGCGGAGGTGGCGGAGGTGTACAACACCGGCATGATGGTGTCCCTGGTGAAGGGGGCCATTTTGACGGCCAAGGCCATGAAACGGGATAGGTAGGCTTTGAAGGAGCGCTGGTCCACGTTGCAGGTCAGGTACGGCTCGCAGGCCACCTCGTACATGATGTTTTTGGGGCCGACTGGGGGTTCGGTGAAGAAGTCTTCCAATGTACCGGTGAGGATTCCTTGGATTCGTGTTTTCCATTTCACGGCTCCGTCGGTCTTTTAGTTCCAACTCCGTCAGTGCGATACACTAAGGACCGAGCGCGCGGGGGGGGAGGGGACAAACAAAGTTATACATATAGGCCGCGCCAGCCAAATACATCCCAGCATTATAGGACCATTGCAAACGATTTATATCCGAGCAGTTTTTCTGCGCCATCGCCCCGTCCAAAAACCTGTGCTCCTGCGTTGCTAATCCAACATTATATGTCCAGTCGAACGTCTTCTCGGCCCACTCCGCGTACGTCGCGTTCCCGGTATACCGTGCTAACCTCGCGCCCAGTTGGAAAAAGCACCCGGCGGAGATGGTATTCTTGTAAGCGTACCCGCTATGTAACGGGATGATCTGCCAGCGCAGCCCACCCCCACAGCTATCCTTGTCCCACCGCGCAGCCTGGGTGTTGAACACTGCTTGGGAGAGCGACAGCCATTGCGGTGAATCAGCCGGCGGGTTGGGGAATCGTTTCTCGGCCGCGGACATGGCGGTCAGTGCCCAGAAACACTGATCGTCGTTCCCGAGTGACTGGGATTGATTCGGTGGCATGAAGTTCTTGTCCGGGCCAACTTGGTGCAGGATCGCTTCGCTTGCGGTAGGATTGTAACTAGTGTCGCCGGTGTAGGCCCAGTAATCTACTAATGACTTTTTTTTTTTTTTTTTTTTAACCATTCCCACATCATCGTCATTGCCATCGTCACCACCAGAAGAGGGGGGGGGGAGGTTGGGTGATATGAATAAATGGAATAGAAACATACACCAAACACAGCGCCAGACTCCCACCAGTAATAAGGATCTCCGAATAATCCAGGAATGCCACCGGTTTTATTACCAGGGTAGAACTGCATCATTTTAAAGGCGACTTTTCCAGCGACCCTGGATACCGAGGCTAATACCGCAGCAGATCAAAAAGAAAACCCCGGTTACTATCTCTCGTTCCCGTTTGCATCCCTGACGCAGGGCCTTATCGCAGATGCGGGGGTGGAGCGAGTGCGCATCTTCAAACATACCTTTATTTTTGACGTCAATCTCATGCGCCAATCCCCCAACCACTATTGTTGCCAACAATAAGGTCAGGATAGACCAGAAGTTCATCGTCATCATCATCATTACTATCATTCCCCGCTCTTACCGTATCCCTAGAAAGCGGGGGAGGGGGGGGAGGCGTGAGTACAACAAGGCGGGCGGGGCGCGCGCGAAGAGAGAGAGAGAGGAAGCGACGGTAGGCAAAAGAGATCCCGACAAGGATCCTCGAAAAGCGGCTCCGTGATGTAAGGTAAAACACAGTAAAAGGCGAATGGACTTGTTAACTCGAATCCTTCTTTCCGGGAGGAAGGAAGGGAGGGGGGGGGGGCATAGAGCTTAACGAGCGTGTGTGGTGAGATGGTTCGAGAATGAAGCCAAGTTATGGGGTAACTTTAGACAATATACAACCTAATTCACGAGATATTGTGTAGCCTCTCTTTTTTCTTTCCTTTTTTTTCCTTTTACCCACTCAGCTCCCATACACAAGGCCGAGTACGTCCTAAAGGGAAGGGAGGGAAGGTAAATTATTTCGAGTGAGAGCCTGTGATTTCTTTTGTGGCGTGCAACGTGACGTTACGTGCGGCTGTATGATTGGTAACGATTGTTGGGACAGTTGCTATTTTTGTTGGAAAGTGCTGGCTGAGGGCATTGTGATGGTTGATGATCGTGGGCTCTTTCGCATATACCGGTGCACTTTGTCCCGGTGTAAATTGTTTTTTAAGCTATCTGGCTGGGAAACCTTTTCTTTCTTACATATTTCTTATTATACTTGAAGGGCATTTCTTTTGCGAGGATTTTGATTTCACTCGTTCATTCGTTTTGCTCAGATTACGGGCTGCTCGAGTTATGTTGTTTGGTGTAAGGGGTGATGATGGCATGACGGCAGGGCGTAACTTATCACGGTAGCAATTCTCTTCTAAACATCGGTTGAATCTCCCTTTTAGAAGCCCATCATAGACTATCGTAGTCGAGTAAGAGTATTATCATACTTCAAGTTGAATAGCGCCTTGGCAAAGTTTATCTCCCCAGACGGGCCGTCGATTCATGGTTGATCGACCTGTAAATTTAGGCGAGAAAGGGAGCTTGAGGCCTTTCGACTGACATTCATTTTCAGCTCGGTACCGGTACGGTGGGGTGGGAAGATTATTGGGCTTCTGTCTTAGAGCGGGGATTAGAACCTCTGCACGGAGATATGATACTAAATTTATCGAGCCAGCGTGGCTGCCTGCCAGGAAAGCGGGAGTTAAACAAGCTTCCCCGGCTAATTTACAGTATTCTATGGAGGTTATTAGTGATGAGACGGGTAGTGGTGCTGGTGGCCGAAAACATATGCGCATGGCGCGGGAATCCGTAGATGTCCTCGGCCACCCGTACCCTTGTCCGTCCCATCACTAACCTCCATACCCGACCGGAAACTCGGGTTATCATGGGAAAAAGTATGGTGAAGTCTTGACTGCCAATAGCTTATCGATATCATAGATATTCTGTTAAATTATCATGATATTATTATCGTAGCCACATTTGCCATACTTTCCCCTACCCCCTACGCACAACAATACACTTTTCAATGAGTTGAGCTTAACCCATCGGGAATTAGGATTGGATAGGGTCTAGGGGTAACTACAGTGCACCGTTATAATACAAAGCTTCTGAGAACACTAGTAACTGGTTGATTGGGAAGCCAAAGAGGTATGATGCATACAACACCTGCGTCCGTGAATCTGTAGGAGATATTGTGGAATTAGAGGCTTGTTTTAAGTCTTCTGGTTTCATTCGTGATCCTCCGTTGAGCTGCTCCAAGGATGAGCAGGGGCAATCATCTATCGTGAGTGGACCATAATATTCCGTCGTTGCTAAGCCTATCGGTACTCTGGGACTAGAAGTTGTACGGGCACGGTATGATACTATATATCGCGGGTGTTTGCATACTGTTTTGAATAGGATCTCTTTAAAAACTGCTTATGTCCGCGTCGAGGATACCGACGGGCCTACCCTATCGTGAGCGGGATATGATAATATGATACGTAAACAATACCGATGTGTGCCATTAACTCCGCTGAAGAATTTTTTTTTTTGGGGGGGGTGACTTGACTTGAAAGGATATAGTCTATCTAGTGCAGGCATTGTAGATGCTATATACAGGATCCAAGAATGGCATCTTATTTGCTCCCTGTCTGCCAGGCTAAACTGTCACTCGTGAATTTCCATCAACCCTCAGAGCAAGAAAATTGGTGTAGTGGAAACTCAACATATACTGTGCTTCTAGTATTAGGGTGTGGAGGGCAAACAGAAGCGAGATATGTGATACTAATGATAGACACATGTCCCTACAGTGCTTCTATTGACACCTTAAATCATAGGAGAAATGCCAGTAGCATATTGCCTTCTGCGGATTCGAAACTGACTGATGGTATAAACTTCTCCTTTGTGGGCTCTTTGCCGGTTCCCTGCCTTCCTTCTGGTATGATACTCTGACAAGATAGATAGTACGCAACAAACAAACCACCCAAGCACAGATCGAAGAATTCAAGTTCCTAGGTGTTTATGTACTGGGGGTCCAGTACAGCAAGTGGTAAATTAGCACCTCAGAGTTTCTCGGGTGAGGACTGGGTGAAACCCAGAGCTGCTAAATCCTGGCCGTACATGCTCTGTCCTAGCAGCAATACTATGGAGTAATCCAGGAGGATTTATAGAGACAAGGTGGCGCTCTGGAGATAATCTAAACATGCTCTTCGCTTAATATCAGGGACCCAAGTATCGTGCTCCCAGACACTCAAGAAGTCCCTGGGTATAACCATGGACAGCACTTGTTACGTGGCCAGCGGGCCACTATCACGCTCACAACAACCTTCTTACGATATCGTCCTATGACCAAGAACGGTCTTCTGTCATCTAACAATAAGACCGCTGGCGAGCGCAGTGGTTCAAGGCCCCTGAGCGAGGGGTCCTCTATCTCCTATCCATTACTTTATAGTAAGGGCTTTCTCGAATTGAAATTGGGATTGGCCCGGAAATGACCAGAAGCTGATGTCTAGGCTAGAAATCCTACTCTTCCGCTACTTCGGATTAAATGCTATCATAATACTGTGTGATTAGCGAGCGACTGATATCCTATGACACTTCACAGGACTAGCCTTCCTGAGCTAA